CGTAAGACGACCAGAAAGTAGTAAAAGCCCCGGTTGAAGAACTTCTCACCATTGATTAATTGAACTCTTCTGAGCTCTCTTTTCGTAAGACGACCAGAAGTTAGTAAAAGCGTCATTTGGTAAGACAAACACCACTGCAAATTGAACATCTCTGTGCTCTCTTTACATAAGACGACCAGAGATCAGTAAAGGACCAGTTGGCAATAGCTAACAAGTTCAAAATTCATCCAGAATTTGAGCTTCAATTGCTATCAATCCTTACGGTACAGGTTCAACAAACCTCACCGTCCAGTACAGCGTACAAGCCAACCAGGCACGCTTGCTGACAGCTAGTAGAAGCTCGGCACTCAATTGCCAGCTCACTAGAAGGCTTCCTTGCACCCAGTAAGGACAGCTATTACAAGAGGCCAGCCTTGCTGTCGTCCTCTAAAGTCTATCTACAACGAGGATACGCATCTCACGTTGCGACGCTCGCCATCAGAACTCAACGGAAGCAGCGAACACAACTTTGTGCGATACAAAAATGGCAGCGCTCCAAATCTTCAAATCGAAAATCAACAATGCCTGCGCACTTGTGAAATCATACGAGTCGGAAGTGAATAAAATTGATACACCATTCACTTTTCCTGTGGACAAGACTGAATGCGAAACATACATCAAAAGGAAAATGGGAGAAATCACGCATTTGCTCAATTCTCTCCAAAATGCCGTCAAACTTCAAGACACTCAAGTAAATGCCGCAATTGAATATGTCGGCTCAAGAAACGAGGAAAAAGAGAGAGAAAAGCTGATGACTGAACTCAGCAAACATCTCGAGTTAGAGTCTCTTCCTCTGGAGGTCATGACAGTACAGTGGCAGAACAGGATCCAGTTCCGACAATATGAACTCAAGGAACAAAGTGCGCTTGTGCACTGCAGTACTCCGAGCATACCGAGTCAGCCAAGTAGCGAAGTTGGGCAAGCTGGAACTCCGGAACGCAACGAAAGGCAGATCAAAATTCGGAAGCTCATGCTTGAAATTCCGACGTTCTCAGGCAACTTCCGGGAGTTCAACAGTTTCTGGACTGTCTTCGAATCACTTATTCACACCGACGAGGAGCTATCCGACACGGACAAGTTCTTGTTTCTGAAACAAGCCTTGAAGGGAAAAGCAGCAGACACCCTGAGCTGCATTCCCCTCGTCGGAGAAAGATATCAGACAGCGATAGATGTCTTGAAAAAACATTTCGATCGCTCTGCCAACATGGCAGACATACTCATAAACGAGATCGAAAAGCTACCCAGGGCCTCAGATGATCCGAAAAGTTGCCGGGACACCTTCGAAGCAATCAACTCAAGGATCATTCACCTGGAGCAAACGGGAGCAAAGATGAACGCAGACAGAATTTGGCGTCGAATAATCTTCTCCAAATTTCCCGAATCCATCTGTACGACCGCCATCCAGAAAGAAGCGGTACAAGATGATCCATTTGATGTTAGCGAAATCCTGAACGCTATCGACAGCATCATTTCAATACGAGAGACAATCTTGCTAACGACGGAAACTCTCTTTCCAACCGACTACCACTCGAATAACCAAGAAAATGAAAGGATTACCAGATGCGAAGGAAAGGAATACTTTTCAAAACCAAGACGCTTGTGTTTATGTGGACAACCACATTCGCCGTATACCTGCCAGAGATACACCACTCCAGAATCTCGACGACTTGAAGCAACAAACCAAGGAGCGTGCTGGAGATGTTTCGTAAGCCACGACTCAAACGCTTGTACGAGTATTGGAGTATGCCCTAAATGCCAGGGATCGCACCACGGATCTCTTTGCATGCCAGAAGAAAGACAACGCAGTGGATTCTTCGCACAATCCCGCGATCCTGCAGTCGACGATCATCAACATTCACCTCCTTGGACACAACGTGACACCAACCAGGATTGTCGCGAGTTTAGTAACATGCACGTCGTACAAGGCTCGGAGAATAAACAAGGAGTCCACATCTCAGACGTACTTCCACTTGCGCACAATCATTGCGTTCTTCAAATCGCCTCAGCATCGATTTTCAATGAAGCAGAGTGGGACTACCAACCAACGACCGTACTTCTTGACTTCGGGGCGCACCGAAGCTTCATCAAAGCAAAACTTTGTGAAGAACTCAAGCTTCCGATCGCTCGAACTACTTCTTTCACTACATCAGCAATGGGCGAACACCAAGAGAAATTCAACTCATCTGAAGTGCACATCACCTTGAAGAGTTCTCACAGCTCCGAGAAGCTCAAGAAGTTGTCATTGCATACAAAGCAGAAGCTGACTACCGATCTGCAGACGGCAAGCCTCACGGAGGCAGACTTGCGTTTCATCGAAGACGGAAAGCTGATGATTGCTCAGGATACGCTCTCTCACAAAAGCCTTCTACCGGACCTGATCATCGGGCAAGATCTCATAGATCTTGTCATCCTTCGAAATGAGAGAGTGCTCACGCTTCCCTCAGGGCTCATTCTGACCCCAACAATCTTTGGATACGTCATATCAGGGATCAGTCGCACTACCACTACAAGATCCGTTTGTACCTTCGGTTGCATATCAGCGCTACAGGAAACATCCCCGCCAACAAAACTACAACAGTTCCCTTCATCTAAAGGAAGACAACCCAGAAAAATGAGGCAGACGCTCAGAGCTTTCATCTTCCGTGAAGCTCAAGCAGACAGACAACGTTGGCTGAACACAATCCGTTCCCTATCAAACTCTTTCGATGGCTCTGCGATGATGTCAGATGGAATGACCAGCACCTCGTCGTATCTTAGGAAGCAAGCAGAGACAAAGATGACGAAGGGCAGACATCACAGAAGTTCACGCCTTATCAAAACGGCGCCTAATGAGCAGATGACCGTCAACAATGCTTCTACTATCAATTCAAAATCAATGACGAAGAGGAAGAGGCGACGACGACGAGCAATGCCAAAACGAAATTCGCCTCCATCAACCACCTCAACTGATCATACCATTGTGCATACATTGTGAATTGAATTAATTTCGTGTGAATGTTAACATTATTTGCAGCTCTTATTCAAGATCGCTATTCTTTATACATAATGCTCACTAACTTACTAGTCAACCTCACATGTGTCCACACTCATCAAGGTCTTACCAGATCTCACTTTCCTCTCGCTCGCCCGGAGTGTTGATGATTTCTGGATCATCAACCATTGATGAACTCTATAATCTGTATAGCCTATGGGATCCCCGTAGGCTAAATGGTGAGCTACTCACTCTCGAGTATCTAATCACTCAAGAGTGAGTGGTACCTGTGCGCCAGGAGTGTAGCCAATCGGCGGCATCTCCTTTTAAGCACTAACTCGTATACTTTGTACCTTGTATTCGGTTTGGCTCCGCCTTTCTTCCTATATAAGGAGCCTCCGAATGTATTAGAGGTTCTTCCCCGGTTAACACCGGGACACCTCGACAGATGGCTCTCAACTAATCTACGCCAGTGTGAATAAACCTATTCCACAACTACTCGTCTACCCTATCACTTGGTACACACCAAATCACAATTTTCTTATAGGAAAATGATTAAGAGATACAGAAGCTATATTTGAGATCAGCGTTTCAAGCACTATCCGGAAGCATAAACCTTCCGGATCGCCACTTCGACCAAGCGAACTTCTTGTTAAAATCTTCTAAAACTTCTTTGGCTGGATTGCAAAGAAACATAACCACTTGGAAAAAGACGAAAAGCTGCATCGAATACCAGAAACTTCCCATTTATTTACGGGCGTGTGGCGCTACCTCAAAGGAGGCAATAATTTTCGAAACGATCCAATGTTATTGATGTGTCAATGTGGTTGCAAGTTCGTCTTCAAAACTAAAGAGGCGAATGGGCATCGGGAACATGAAAGTCACTTTTTATTGTAGAAAACGCTGGCTCATTTCAGCAATGTCCAAACCAACATTTGCTCTCTCTGCGAAAACATCATGTCGCGGCTCGCGATGCAAGCCATTCCTCGAAACAGGAGGCCGGGAGCGCTGCTTATCGCGTTACTTGGCGCGCTTTCAATATCGCGCCAAGACCTCTCCTGCTGGGCGCATTGTCAAGTCACAGGGTATATAAGGGCGCGCAGGCCGCGGTCTACGCCTCTTCGAGTTTTGTTTGTATTGATCGTTTTATGATATCGTTCGTGCTGGCAGCGCCTCCAACAGCTCCCGCAGATGATCAACGGTTTCGCGCGGTTGAGATTTTGTCATATTCTTCGTTTTAAAGACGCGCAGCCAAATATCATGGCTTATCTTGCCTAGGAAGTGTACTGCGGGAGTGGAGAGAGGTCACACCGTCCCGGAGGGGCTAGGGGCTTGCGGTTGACCCAGCGAAGAGCTCGGAACTACTTGATGGAGTCGATCACCATCAGCATCGGCAGCACGGGACGACGCGGCTCGTCCCGTGCCTAGTTCTTCCTGGGTTTGAAGTAGTAGTTTTAGTAGTTTCAATAGTTTCAGTAGTTTTAGTAGTATTAGCTATTAGTTTATTGTTGTGTATGTTTGTAGATAAATGTAATCTGAACTAGTCGGTCCTTTCTTTTCTCAGCGTTACGCGCTATTTATCGTGTCCATACAGGTAGGGGTAGGCTTCGGTAGCGGCAGTATGGCGTCATGAACCTTAGCGGACGCGCGACCATCGTGGGGGACAATAGGGAGTTAAGTGTAGCTGCGGCGAGCACTTGCGGTAGGTGCTGGCCCCACCGAGCCGCCACACAACAGTTATATCCAAAAGTCCAGGAGAATAGTCAGAAAGCAATGAAAGGTCAGTCAGTTGCAATTCTGTCTGTATATCATCACCCGTTCGTATATTAGTTTTGGGACACAAATGCCATGCACAGATCCATGCATAGAAGTTAAATAGAGTTGCTTGACGACATCCGAGTTGGGCCTTTATTGGCAAAGCAGTCGCAGAAATCTCACTGGTGTGATCACCAAGTGAAATAAAGATTGGGAGCGAACACAAACGACAAACCTCCGGAGTGCACAGAGTAAAGAGAACAGTCGGCCGATCGTACATCCCTGTTCAATGCTTCGGCTAGCTCCTGATGTGTCAACGTCTCGACAGCAGCCATATCCATTTTGACCTGTGCAATAAATTCTCGAAAGAACACTGATGATTCAATCGCTGGTACAACTAACTTTGAATGGACAAGCTTTTTGAGCACGGAGCTCGTCCGGACTGATACTCTGGGTAATGTATGTGTGATTGAGAGCGCCGTGTACGTCAATACGATCGTCCACGTCAACGACGATCAACTTTGAAATCAAATCGATCACCTCTTCAGAAACCTGAAACTAAACGCCTACATGAAACACGAAAAGAAGATTATCAAAAAACTCAAATTTCAAGTTTGAATCGTTTGCTTTACTCTAATATGTAGCTAGCCGAACAACTTCACTTTTTTTCTGCGTCGCCATTGAAGTAAAGAAGGCTAGGATTTATCTCGTTTTTACAAAGATAATAGCTCAAGTTGTCCATATATGGAGAAAGATCGAGATGTCATATGGAAAACCATATTGTAAGCAGATGCGAATTGCGAGTAACGCCCATAAAAAAGAGCAAGCTATCACTCCAAAACTACCTGCGCTGGGAAGATCATTTTGATGAAAGAAAGCTTTGCTTACATTCTCTTGAAATTAGGGTGTAAAACCCTCCCCGCTACCGTTAACCAAGATCGCACAGCTTTAACTGTTGACACTTTTCTCAGCACCAAGTGCATCAACATTCAGAAGTTTTATCACCTCTCTTTCTCTGCAGTACATTATTTCTGCCCATGGCCTCTGAGCGTGGTCTCCGAAGTTCTCGATAAGTCGTCGCGTACGTTCACAGCGAATCTCGTCCAGAATCTAGCAATAAACAAAGGACATTTGCACCTGAACGTTCTGGAAGCCGGTAAGTGTCTTCAATGCATACCTTTTGCGACGGGGCTCCCAGCATTGTAAGGATGATTTTTATTTGACCGCTCACACTGCGGCCAGGGAACAACTCTCTCCTCAGAATCATTTCAGCAAATATACAACCAACAGCCCACATATCAACGGCCGTCGAGTGTTCTGGCATGACGTAGAGCAACTCTGGAGCTCTTAACAAAAAATTGTTTGCTGATTGTTACATGGCTTACTCCTTTATAAGAATAGTCAAGGTCCACAAGAATGGGGCTGGAAAAAAACCGCTTAAACAGAACTTTGAAGCTCTTTGTAAACCCCGCAGAGTCTCTATAGAAAGGCAAGATTAAAAACTGTTTTTTATCACCTGGCCATGATGACTGACATCAGACGTTTCATATAAGTCAGTGGCGTACCGAGGGGGGGGGGGGGCGGGGGGGGGCGCGCGCCCCCCCCCGAGAATGGGTCGCGAAATTTTTGAAAGTTGCTTATAAGGGTTATAAAAATGTGCAAATGACTTGTTTATACTTGTAAATAATTAAAATAATTTTTAAAAATTTTTAAAAATTCAAATTAGCCTTATAAAAAAAATTTTTTCGGGGGCGTGGCTGACGCCACGCCCCCTTTCTCCAGATTTTAGGGGTTGGGGACCCGCAAAAATTTTGAGAAGCACCCCTAAAATTTTTTCGGAGTGCGTGGCTAACGCCACGCACCTTCATTCGAAAAAAAATTTTGTCGCGCCCCCCCCCCGAGCGGAAATCCTGGGTACGCCACTGATATAAGTGGAGTAGAGCATATGTTGACAGATGATGCATATTGAAAAGGTGGTTACGGTTTTTTTTACTCATGAACAGGTTCAACGATTGAGGCAACTCATAGGAGAACGCAGACGATGTATGAAGGTCTAGATAAGGCTTAGTCTTGGCAGGAAAATTGTCCCTTACCAGTGTTCGGACCATAACGGACCCCCATCACGCTTTTTATGGGAATTTTAGAAAATTTCACTAGAAGTTTTCAGACAGTACGCGCGTTCCATTGGGCGGTTGTCTCGATATTGAAGGTTTTTACCAATATGCGCCTTGTATGTACTAGAATTAGCAGTGCTTCCAGATATCTAGGATCACTCAAGGTATTAGTTTCTCAAGAAAATAATGTCGTTTTTCATAGCAAAGTACAAACCCAAAAAAATATGTGAGGGTACCTTCGATCGAGCAAAGAAAGCTCTGCAGGATGGCATCCGAACATTAGCAGAATTTGTTGTTTACACATAGTTCAGAGCCAAAACATACAGGCAACTCGTGATGCCAAAAATTGAATTTTCGTCCTGCATGTAAAAGACACATGCACTTATCCATAGCTAGACTTGCTTATTTTTTCCATGTGTAGAAACCAAGAAAAAATTGAAAGAAAATTGGCAGACTCCGCCCCAGTACTACTGGGCCCCTCCCACATAAGTCTTTGTATACTACAAAGCTTCGTAACTTTAACCATAACATTTTGGCCTCAGATATGCTCCAGTTTTCGAGTAATATCAATTTTACCAAAAAAAACGACATTATTTTCTTCACAACCTAATAGCATAGATATTTTGACAAGGTTCGTTATGCTTACCTATAAGGAAGAGTAGCGACATGTTGTGTCATGTAAAAGCAATGCTCGTCGGCTTCGTCTATGTGATCCTTCATCGCCAGTTTTGCCATGCCAAAGTCGGCAATGCGTAGCGTACAGTCGCTGTTCACCAGCAGGTTTGACGGTTTCAGATCACGGTGTGCAATGCCAGCTGTGTGAAGGTACTGAAATATTAACATCTTAGAGACATTAAAATGCCCAAGGCAAAGAAACCGAGGATTTTTCAACTTTACACCAACTCGACTGAGACCCAGGTTAAAATGATTTCAGATAAAAAAAATGTTTGTTAAAATCGAGAAATGACAAAGCACTTTGAAGACTTATTCTACACTTCAGCTTCAATTACTTTGGTATGATTTTTGGCAGAAAACTAAAGCCATAGCCTACTCTTTTTACAAATTGTAGCACAGCTTATACTATTAGGTTGGCTTAAAAATAACTTCGTTTTAGCATGAAAACCTTCATAAAAACTTTTCCAGTTGTTTTTTATCCATGGTTTTCAGGACAAATAGCTTAAAGCTTCTTCCATCACATGTCAGCTATTCAAGACTTTCAATTATCAGTAAGGGACAATACCCCAATATGGCAAATTCCAAAGCTCATTTCTACCTTTTTCTAGGCTTTGTTTTCTTGCTGTAATGGATGTAGAGAACAGCAATTTGGTTGGGTACGAACAAGTTTTCCCTACTTGGCAAATAACAATAAAAATTGTGGTCTGTCATTTTGAAATTCTTTGGTTAAAAAAAACCAAATTTTCGTACATTTGTGCACAATGAAAAACCTAAAATTTCTCACTTCTTCGCGGATTGCTATCATTTGAAAATGAATTCTACTCAAATGAATTTTACTTACAATCCTCATTGAAGTGCTCCTTACAGAGATAAAAAATATTGGGCAAAAATTGTCTGCAGTGTTTGTAGGAGCCGCAAAAGCGAGCGAAATTATTTACTAGCCAACCTAATACAATGCTTTGCTACACTGAATATACCGGAGGTTGGAATAGGAAAATTACTTTTCTTTTTCAAAATTCGAGCTCGTCTCGAATATGTACTAATTTGGCTGGAGTAAAACAAGTGATGTTGTAACGAAGGAACGGCAAATGCATTCATAAAATCAAGAATTTTTATCCACGAAAATGTTTTGCTTTTTTTGCCCGCTTGGTCGCAGAGAGTCGCACTTGAAAAATCAATGGGCTCTTCAGATGCAATGAACACAATTTGCCAGTAGAGATTATGATTTTGTTCTCATTCAATTCATTCGGATCACTCTCATCTACTATTAGAGATCGAAACGAGAAATCAAGCGAAAAACGTGTCAAAAGCGATCCGAAGAATTTATTTGGCTTGGTGCTAGCATTTTACTTCAGGGTTTTTTTTTCACAACAAAAAAAAAATTGGCAGTGAAGTGATAATACTGCCAAAACACCCGTGGACTAATATGTGAACAAGACAAAAACGCAAAAGTCATATGAAGTGGTGAAGGCTGAGTTAACAAGCAATTCCAAGTATGGGTTTTGATACTATATTAAAATACTACCGAAATTACAAGGCATAATATGATATATTACAGCTGCTTTTGACTTTTAGTTTAATTCACTTTTTTACAGGTGCTTATTCTCTGTGACACGTGATAGTGTATGAGGAGTCGCTGGCACCTAGGATACAAAATTGAGAAGAAAGGCTGTTTCGTGTAGAAGTACACCTCTAGAATCGTGCACTTCTATAAAAGAGCTGAGAGAGGGGAATGATTGGATAAGTGGACTTTTTCAGGTTAAAAGGCCACAAAGAAACGATCACAACGTATCACACGTGAATGCACTGGTACAGACACATTCTGAGATCTGACTCCAGCACTAAAGCGTCTAAAAAAAAATAACTTACTCGAAGGCCCATGAGCAGTTGATAAAGAAATCTTCTTATCAAGTAGTCGTCCAATTCGTTCGAGCAACCATGGATAACTTGATGAAGACTGTACTCCATGAGATCCATAACTGTAATTTTATAGACTGGTTCATGTGTACCATCCTAACTTTTCTCTTGGCTCAACTTTCTCCCTTTATCTCTCTGATATAGTACACATAACATGCGCGAAGTGCGCTAAATTTCAATGAATGATTTCGACGGAAAGATAAGACTTACAGCGAGGAGAGCTTTATGAGCCATTGTCAATAGCTACAGGGCGTCCAGAATCGTACAAGAAACACACCTAGATATACATTGATTCCTAACGGTCCCCGTGTACGGAATATATCCCTCATTGACACAATATTATCGTGTTGCACGTGACGCAAAACTCGTATCTCTCGTAATGTCCGACGTGCTAGGGTGGGAGTAGCAGAAGCATGACCGATTTTTTTGATTGCCACCTAAAAAAAGAAATCGTGGGATTAACAACGGCGTGTCAGCGATCCTATTATAGGTCGACAAAAAATTTTAGCAGGACGCGTGAGCTTGGAATTTCACTAATCTCGTTAGCGCAATCACAGAGTGCAAAAGGGCCATTACCAACGCTGAGCGGAAAGAATAGTGCTTGCTTTGGGGTGTCCTTTGCGTCTATCACAATGAACTTGGTTGCCCATTCAACTTATACGTATTTCAGATTTTTCAGTACGCCCCTTTAGAACTTATTGTGACTTTTTTCTATCTACTAGTGAACCAGAATTAGAGATGCTAGATTTGCTCCGACGCGCTTCGGGACCGCACCGCGGTTTCGCATTTTCTGATGTTTTTTGAATGGGCGTTACGATTCTATATATATTAGATAGAATTCGATGAATTCAAAAATGGTATCCTCTCGCATATGTCAAATATGCGCATCTGAACAAGCAAACAGCGGCTATCTATCAACTGCAATGGAAATAGTGATTTTTTAAGACAAGCGCAAACATTATTCTATTCAAGAGTGACCATTATTTTACGGATGCAAATTGGGTGATACACATCTGTCTATACTTTTCCCATCTGTCATCATCGAATACATGATCAGATCAAAAAAACTGAGAAGAAAATTATAGCATAGATGATAGCAGTGACGGAGTCGAGTGCATGACGATTATATTGGTGGCTCCAAAATAGGTGATTTGGGGCGTAATGAAAGCGAAACATGGGTCCCATATAATTTAGAATTTTAGAAGCTTTGAAAAAATAAAAGCTAACTCTTGCAGTGCACCAGCAAATCTATCTCAAATCACTGCTCTTGAGTCAAAAAAACAACAGCAACACGCATTTTTACCCTTGTTTTTCGAATATTTGCTTCATGGGCGCGCCGATAAAGTGAGGGGTTAATCTAAAATCTTCAGCAAAATTGTCTTTTAGTTTGTAAGCTATTTCCAATTGTTATTTCATGGACATAATTGAAGTACGTGGCTGCAGCCAAGCGACAGTCAAAATCAAAAATAAATGACATAAGCGTATACCTTGGTGACATTGCCGTCACTGGTCGTTTCCTCAGCTTCACAAACGATTCCGAAAGCTCCAGCTCCTATACTACGAACTGGTTCGTACTTCTCGGCAGCGGTACCAAATTCAAAGTCCAAATGCAGCTGGCGTCGAGCCAAGTCGTCCAACACCCGATTGAATCCCGTTTTTGTAGCAGGCATAGAGCCTGGAACAGACTGTGTTTCGTAACAGTAGCAAAAGGGACGCATACTGATGCGTACAGCGGTCACGGTTATTCAAAGTGCGGCATATCGCGTGTGCTTGGCGAACGCGGGTGCCTTGCTAAGCTGCGATCAGCTAGCGACTTCGCTGCGGACGGACGGTTCGCTCTCCGTCGAACAACACACAGCGCCCCAAATACGAGCACAGACGCGACATCATAACATGCAAAAGAAATTCTACACACACCCGCTTTACAACGGGTAAGCAGGTGCTTGCACGAAAAAGAACTCGCGCGTTTTGAAATCGCCAGAAAAAGACAGGAATGCCGGATAGCCCCAAAAGGCGCCGTGGCCACCAACTTGAGTGATGACAGCGTTACATGCGTCAGACCACTGCGAATCCTAGATTGGCTAAGTAAGTGGGTATCTCGATGAATCATTTACGCATTGGTGGTCGGAACGAGTACCTCTCAATGCTATTCACTGTTTGGCGACAGTGATAATCGCCGGAAGTATCCAGCTGATAAAGAACTTACTGAAGACCACAAAAGCAGTGGGGGAGAGAGGGGAAAGATGCATCGCAAGGTATGAAAACACAAGCAAAGCTGTCACCAACCAAAACTTCCGACAAACGTCTTCAAAGCAGAAATTAGTTTGGCAGAAGTGCGTTAAGAGACTAGGACGAGATTTCACCTTACAAAAAACTCATCTCATAAGTTCGAAGAAGTCGCGTTTCATATTCTCTGATTATAATGAGCAATGAAAAAAGAGAGTCGAAGTCATTACAGAGTTCACTAAAATTAGGCTGCATGGAGGTTTATCTTCGAGGAAAAGTGCGATAATAGAGGCAAATTGCGAGAAAGATTAGCACAGGTTATAAGTAGTGATAAACGACAATGAAACCGATTGAAGGCACTACAATGTCAGAAAAAATACGAAGCACATATAAATCACTTTACCGATAATTTTCTAGCAGGATTACTACGGAACATCAATGAATCACTCCATAATGCTAGTGCATCTTTTGACAATATGCGAGTCAAAAAGTGTACTAGAGCAATTGAAAAGGTATGAAAATATTTAAAAGGGATACAAATGCCTATTCGCTTCATATGCATTCAGTACAGAGTGAAACTGTGCAGGAATTGCCACAGGCAATATGCTAGCACCACAGTGAGTCAGGAATGCAGGCTCATACCCGTGCAATGCACTTCACAATAAAATAGTCTCTATTGAAAAGTCGCAGCCACGCGGCAGTGGTAGCTGAAATTTTGTGGATAAAAGGATTTTGTAAAATGTAGATGCTCTTTTTTTCCCCTATCGCTGCTTCAAGGAATTACCGATTAAATGTTAGCAAAAATAGCGAGTTTGCACCTGTGCATTTTTCATTCCTAGGGTCCGAAAACTTTGCTACTCTAGCAGTAACTGTGCAAAGTAATTCTATGCAAAAGGAAGAATGAAATTAAGTCAGTGGGCGAAATAAATAGTCCAAGACAGGAGTAGTTCTCTTGTACGACTCTTCATGTATCACTCCTAAGAACTGCGTTCGAGCGCAATCGGTTGTTGTTGCAAATATTCTTATGTAAACGCTGCAATGCAAACATTTTTGATGGTGATGCAGAAAAGAAAATATTTACCGCGTATGAAGTGTCATGACATCTTCCTGAAGCGTTGTCAAGCGCACAGAGCATTGTCGACTCAATGGTGATGTTTAAAAACAGGAACAGGACGTATCAAGAATGTGTTGATTCGTTGCTGGTTTCTGCCACGTTTGAATAAAACGTGCTGATGATTTGATAGGAAAATATTGTGAAGTAAGATTGAAAAGAAGGCAAACAGATAGAGCACACTAATCTGTTAGGAGGCAAATCTTATTATGAGATAGCGAGAGGGTTCTTGCGTAAATATGAAAGAAATCAAAGTCACAGCTCAACTGCCCCCTCCTAGCACTGCGACTGCCGACCTAACTTCCTTCTGGTGTCCTTCAACAAGAGTCACAGCTCTACATGACGCTCTAGCATTGCGGTGTTTCGACAATGATTACGCTAGGTTCAAGTGGGCAGAAAGTTTGCTTGCGAAAACATTCTTTCTCTACGTACAACGTTTTCGCAAGAGTGCGTAGTAAATTGTGTCCTTGAACAGGCTTTCTTCATACAAGCACTATGTAGACCGACAGGAAGCGAAACGCCTCTGCTGATTAGCTTTTTGCCGCTATCCAACATGACTGCGAATTCGTGTTTTTTGATAGCGCTTTCAATGGCAGGATTCTTCTCATAGTTCTATGGAATACAGAAATTTACTTCCAATGAAAAATTTATAGTGCTGGGTGTTCAGAACCATTTAGTTCAATTGCAATGTTTTTGCCCATGAATGGAAGAAAAATTATCGCTGCAATGTTCAATTTTTTTCGCATGTTCTCACTTAAAAAATTAATCCCCTCAATCATTGTTCGTTCGGTGATGTTGTAGAAATTGGATTGGAAGGTTCGAAAGGTCTGTCACATTAACGAAAAAAGCATAGAATTGCGAAGCTAAACTTCAAAGGGCAAACAGAATGGGTGTGTAGCACTATCTGCCGAATAGATAGATTGTGTATGAGTAGAAGATCGGGTAAGAGAGTATGAGTAAGAGAACACCGCGACATCCATCAACAGTAATGTCAGGCTAGCTGGCTGGCTAAGGTGTGGGTGGACTGAACCGCGGCCGAGTTACGCCCTCTGACGAACGTCGGGGGCTAAGAAACGACTTCGTTGTATGTGCGAAACTTGCAACGAATGCATAGTCTCTGGATTTGCCAGTTTTTATGTCGTTAGGTCATGTCTCATTCGAACGGTTGTCGCTTCCAGCTGACGCATGTAAATATGTACCCACTTAACTGCATTTTCATTCGAAGAAGTTAAGAGCTACCCACGCCAAGTCGAATAACTGATTCACCGATCAACTTCACAGTGAATCAGTCTCGCGACTTAACGTCGGTAAGTCGTTATTGCGTACGCATGTCGGAATCTTACGCTTTTTATCAGCTCAGTAGGCTTCGACTTCTTTGACACTTACAGTACTGTGCAGCAGAAGACGCTTATCACCACAAATGAAATAGCGATAGTAGATAAGCGGACGTAAACGGAAAATGTCACGACTATCAGTGAAGCGTGCGATGCAGTTTGGGACTATGTCATAAAGAAGCCCTCACTTGCTATCCGTAACAACAATCAACCAGTTTCATACTATCCACCAGTCCCCCAACACACAAACATTAGTCTGATACAAGTAATTAGCATGGCAATGACTCGTGTTGCTGATATGTATATTAGTGCGCCAAAACTAAGTTCACATCCGATCTCTCACTATACGCAAGAAAAATTTGGTTCGCTCTATAGTATAGGAGTGGGAGCGGTTTGCGCCTGCTCGCGTCAGGGCCGCGACCGAAAAAGCCATGAGGAAACATTCAATGCGTAGGGAAAGTTTCAATGAGACAAATATGTTAAAAGAAAAAAGTATACATGCATGTATACGGGGATAGCTGCTAGGCGGGGATCCGCCAACGATGGCCTTGTTCGGACAGGCGGATTGCGTCCAAGGACACGCACACACACCACGCACACACCCACACATACACACACACACAAGCAACGGAGCATCGCTGAAGCAGCGAAAAGATGAGCTTCTTGACTGCCGTTAGCACTCTGCATTCCAGCGTACGCACTTTGATCAGCTACTCTGGGATCAGCGGGGGCGGTAGATCGCCTACCAGGAGGAGAACTTGTTGCCCAAAAGCTTGGCGCTAAATGTGTTCCCCAGAAACGAGAAGTTAGGAAACACATGCATGTCTGAAGTGGGGAACTTTTCGGATTAGGTGATGGACATCAGTGCCGATAAGTGCCATAAGAACTAGATATGCGTGCGCGTGACGCGTGCGAAATCTAGTCTTCAGACTTCATTTGAGTAGTCAACGCGACCTTACTTAACCCAAAAGTTTGCTGTTTGCTACGCTTGTGAACAGACAAACGAGGAAAAGTTTTTAACCAGAGGGAAACCAGACCATACTGGTAATGTACCGTATCGCGTAATGAGCAATGGATGAATTAGGTCACAGTAAATGGGAACTTGTTTTGCATGCTCCTGTTGCTACCTGCCGCGTCTAGTCCCGCAGTTGCTTCATCGCACTCGGTTTCAGTACTCACCAACGGTAATGCGGTATGATTTCAGCATTTTGTGAAGCGTAGATTTTAGCATTTTGTAAAGAGACTACCACCCACATAAGCCCAGTGAGCTTTTAGCCTTCACTATCACCACCGGAGTTTAACTGCTTCGCGAGCCGGCCCCTACTTATGCATCGTTGCATTCATGCGTTGTATTCGCGCATAAATAACAAGGAAACAAGTTTGTGTTGAGCAGACTATCGAGATCGCTGTTGATTCGTAGAGTTGCACAAAAAAAAAATAAGTACAGAGGAGTTAGGATTCAGAGTTTAAACCCAGAGTGTGCAAAAGGCAACACTGGAACACTTTGAAAGCAGATCAAAGTCCATATGTAGTTCAAATATATTACGTTTTGTGATTAATACGAAATTACAGTCAAGTAATAAACTATCAAAGACACTAGCACCTTATCGCTTTACTAGTGCGTTTGGCTCCTGTTCGTTTCTATTGATAAAATTCTGTAATAAATGCTTATATCAGTTGACTGCAAATTTTCTTTAATACTTTACTCAATAGCAGATCAATTCAGAAATTTTAGCTTTTGATAACTTCCATGTTTGAGTTTCAGGGTGACTTTTAATGGATACTATAATAGCTTGATGAGAAAACGGGCACAGCAAATGATGGTTTTACGGCGGCTTCTACATGTTCACAGAAAAAGATCACAGCCAAGCATTCACATTACAAGTTTTCATTACTTTTCATGAGAATTTGTGCAAGCGGCTGATATTCGAGATTCTGCGAACTACCAAAAATGCAAAATGATATCATGTGTTATCGAAACCGACTGCTCTGTAAAGTCCATTTTTTCATGCACAGTTAC